CTTAAAACTCTTCGATAACTCAATTAGAAGATAAAGATTATTTAGGCAATGTGATTTATTAGCGCAATACATTTTGGACAGTCTGACCACACACTTGTCAAGTCAATATATATATATATATATATATATATATATATATATGTAAATGAAAGATGAAAGGTGAATATGAAAATGTTGTGACATTAGTCTTGGTAATATAATCAGATACGGATTATTATTATTATTTATTATTTTTCCCTTGGATTCCTAGGGGAGCATAGGGATTCAGTAGCACATACTCACTTCACTCTCTTCTCTCCAGTCTTTCCAACCTGCCTCCACCACTATCCATCAACTTCCATTTCTTCCTCACACCATCTACTCCATGTCTTCCTCGCCTCCGATGCCCAACTCGTCGTTTCCCCTTTGTACCGAAATCGACGGCCTGGTCTGGCTTGGCGCATGATGTCCCCAATCGGTCTTCTCAGTGTACGCTCAATCAAAGCCATCTCCACTTCCTTCTTATGCATACTTGTTCGGTGATGGCTTCTTGTTTCATTGATTCGTTGGCAGGACAGAGTGAATTCCTTGTTGCTTATTCTTATTATTCTCGCCATCTGGTCTCATCTGATCTGATCTGATCTGATCTCTTCTGATCTTCAGTATGGAGTGAGTGTAGGTGACAGGTGTTGATGATGTGTGACTGTGGTTTGTTGGAAATGCTTTTCATGACGCTCCAAGTCTCTCAATCATCACATGGAAGCACTGACTTACTTCACTGAATTGGTGTAACGAATCTTGTTGGATCTTGTTCACCTTCTATGCTGAGTGGAGTGCACTGCACTGCACTGCACTGACTTCGGGTTAATTCAGGAAAGCCTGTATTGCTGTCTTTCCTATCCTGGCTGGCTTTGACATCCTCGTCTGTGTCACCTGTAGTTGAAACGATGCTGCCTAGTTAGGTGGGTGAAAGAGACCTCTTCCTTTAGGTTTCTCCTGGTAATGATGATTGGTGCTTGTTCTTGTTGTTGTTGGTGGTGGTGTTATTTGGGTATCATCATCACCTCTATCTTCTTTACATTCACTTGAAGTCCTGTTTTCGCTGCCCTGCCTCTTGTGTCAACTTGTTAGTTTCCGCCTGTACATCTTCGAATTTGTGCTACATAAAACACTAAACATAAATCATCATTGACGGCGAAATCCAAATCTTCTAGGGTCTTTTCATCGATCCAGCCAGCATATGCCTATCTTCTCAGAGCTCCTCACGGTTTGCTGCATGATCCCGTCAACCACAATCAGGAAGATCATGGGTGATGGTAGGCGGCAGCCTTGTCTTACTCCTTCCTGTCTTCATTTCAAAGGCGTCACTGAGCTTTCCATTATGAATCACTTGGCATGTAGAGTCGTCATATAGCTGCTGAATGAGGTTGATAAAGATTTGTGGTACTCCGTAGTGTTGAAGCAGCTGCCTGTCAAATTACTTGTCGATCGACGCTGTCGAAGGCCTTTTCAACGTGGATGAAGTTGAGGTAGAGTGTTGACTGCCATTCTGTGCTCTGTTCAATTATGATGCATAGCGTAGCGTTGCAATTTGATCCGCACATGATTTGTTCTCCCCAGTGCCAGCCACCCTGTTCCGGTCGTAATTTTGAATCCAGCGCATCCTTTAGTCTCTCCAGGATGATGCGGCACAATATTTTGCTTGGCGTGGACAGGGGTGGAGCATGATTCCGTGCCAGTTCTTGCAAAGGCTTAGGTCGCCCTTCTTTGGGAGTTTGACAAGGTAACGCTTCTTCCAATCTGCAGGTAGATACGGATTATTAGGGTAAATTAAGTGAAACAACAAACTCTTTTGTATGCATAGCGGGGTCTTAAGTTTACGAATGTCTAACGCTTCGGCAAACTTCAGTGTGCTCCTCTGATTATTCATGTATCATATCTTGAAGGCTGTTTTCGTATTAGTCTTGTGATTCATTTCAATGATTAGTTTTATCATAGATGACTTTGGGTGTCTATCACCTTGAATTATCAATGTTTGTGTATGTTGAATTGCTTTTCAAGGCATTTAGGTATGCGCTCACCCACCCTAGTCCGCATTGAACGATTACTCCTTTCTTTGTATGTGTACCCACACATACATGTAAATTAGTAAACACAGGGGTGAATACTGAAATTTGCCGAGGCGTTAACTATTCGTAAACTTAAGCCTCCGTTGCGCGTAAAAAAGCAATTTGTTGTTTCACTTAATTTACCTTGGTAATCCTTACCTGATTATATTAGCAAGACTAATGCCACAACATTTTCATATTCATATTTCATCTTTCCTTTCATAATATATATATATATATATATATATATATATATATATATATATATATATATATATATATATATATATAAATTGACTTGACAAGTAAGTGTGTGGTCAGATTGTTCGAAATGTATTGCGCTGATAAATCACATTGCTTAGATAATCTTCGTTTTCTAATAACGTTATCGAAATTTACTAAAGGGATTAACTTTTTTCAAATTCTTCACTAGAAATTGTGATCCTCTTTTACCGGTCGTCTCTTTCTATAAATCCGTCTTCACTTGATATAACATGAGTATATATAATGGTTTGTATATACCTACAGTGACCTTGACTGTTTCCGGGACTTTCTAGATATGAATATCCTATTGATTTTTAACTCTTATACGTTAGTTCACTTGCTTTCTCTCTGAACTTCGGTGAAATATGATTGGTTGTAAAAAGCTTCAGAGATTTAGAGCTTTTTGTGAAGATCATGTTAACTTTATTCCACACTATGACACTGGGATAGTAATCAGTATTCCAAATCCTGATTTTTAATGACGGCATTGGTCTTCAGTGATGAGTACATTTTAGTGGATGCTTTAGAGTTGCTCACATCTATTTGGTTACTGGTTACGTTGGATAACTTGAGCAACAGAACTCAGTAAGCGCCAAAAACTAATGAGCATATACTATAAAGGTCTATCAGTTGGAGAGCACTCACAATCACTGTGAGAGTATATAGTGATGAAGACTTTGATTGAAATAATCAACACATTATAACGCTGAGCATACGAGTGGGTTTCAGGGAAATCGGTGCATTACGGTAGATAACTATAAACGGCAATTAAAGGTGACTAGGCATAACTACGATCCAACTTGAAGACCTTATCAAAACCAAGCAATCTTGGTATGTGTCACTATATTTTTTTTTGTGGACATTAGATGATACCAGGTACCAAATCAAACTATGATTGTGTACTTGATTTATTATCCTTGATTGTGACCTATTGGCTTTATTGGCACAAGCTGCAAGAGCAGCAATACAATACCTTAGATATGTGAACAAGCTCATCAGGGGATAGGAACAGAAAAGACTAGCTTGGAAATGGACCAATCAAAACGTAATTTATGTTTATCACATCTGCAGTTCGACGAACAGACGATCGATCAGCCAATCAATATCATCAATTTAAACGCCGAACTATGTATACACATGGACATATTCTCCTTCTTCATTATCTCCAGCATTCAGCCTAAATACACAATACTACACTTTTATTATCTTCTCCATCTTGTTAACTGGGTCAAGAATCAACTAGGAAGTCTCTGAACGTTGGTGGCTGACAGTAGATATCTGTACATCGATAGCGGCTATAGCAATTCCAAATCATAATATAAGTGTTCTACACTGATTCCGAAAGTAATTTTGTATTTTCTTCCTCATGTGAAAAGTGCTATATTGGTAATTTATCATTGTAGACTCGCCTGTTCAATGTAAAATCATCTGTAGTAACAAAAAGTGCGGAGACTTTTCGTTTAGATGTTCAGAAAAAAACAATTTGAGTGAAGAAACATTTCTTTCCAGTTAGCTACTCACTAACTTGATGATAAAGTGGTTAATCTCTAATTAACCAACTTATGACCATAGGGCTGGTATGTTGCTGTTGGATGATAGTAGGTTGGAGAAAATCCACAGGAAGCTAAGCTCCACTTACGTTTCATGCTTTTTGCTATTTGTCAGGAAGGTGTGTCTGCAACTTCAAGGAGACTGACGTCCTCTCTCGGGTTCAAACCGACATTGCCCGTTGTCACAGTCCATGGCTTTACCAAAGAGTTATTCCAGTCACAGCTGACCTTTATTAGAGTGGATCAGATACACTGATTGGTCAGTGGTGGGCAACCAAATTCATGCTGTCTAATCCTGAATACTGATCATTCCGATATACTATATTACTAGTGATGATCCATTGATAAGCGGGTAACCTAAAATGGAGTTATGTGACTGACCACTATGGAGTTGCACACACCTGAGTGTATCTTAAAGTTGCTGTGGTCTGCATCACGCTGATTGATTAAGAGTAACTCAGTACCTGTCATTCATTTCCTAGCCACCTGAGCCACAGCAATTTGATAACCACACCACTTTTTTCCCCTTACACCTGATTATATGCTTAATACCATAACTATTTGCTTAGCTTTATATAATCTTCCTAACAGTTGTCACCAACCAGGTGACTACAACATCTTCACACCTTGTAAACTTAATGATAACGTCTCTCTGACCCTGACCTAGTATCGGAAACTAAAATTTCGCACAGACTTTACAAATTATAGAATGTGATGAATACAAATCAACCCCTCTGCTATGCAAAAACTGTGTTCATGACTATCTTTATTTAACTGGGATGAAAACTGACCAGAAAATCAAAATCTATTCAACAACCTTGTACATACTGGTGCAGCAGGCAGTTAGAAACAACTATTGAGTACAGGATGACGTTACTACCTGGCTACCTAAACCATAATAGCTGGATGGGGATCTCAGAATCCATGAGCCAGTAAGTTGGAAGTCAATTCCCTAAACCAATAAGCTACAGCTCCACATTATGAAAACTAATCAAGTGAGTAATATGATATTTTTGTTGTTACATTTTAAAAAAAAATACTTCCAGTGTATGCAATAATATAATCTAGATAATATTTACCTTGCGTATATCCACAATAGATACATTGGACAGTCTGTCAACAATCTAAGACGAATAGACTCTATGCATGACAATTTAATGACACAAACTACCAATGATGATACTGATAAAGTGGATATTGAAGAAAATGATAACAATAACATTGAAGAAAATGAAATATCTAACAACTGGATGACTAGTGACGATGCCTAACAAACATCTTCATATTAATTTCATAATAAATACTTAAAAGGTTTATATTAATCTGTAATAATACATCATTATGTTTGTTAGCTTTTCTCTTAAAAACAGAATCCTGTTTTCACTTTTTTTTTAATATTTTTTATGTGTTATTCTTCAGAGCAGCTGTTACAGCCCGTGGTGTAGTATAGGCTAACACTGGTGGTTTTGATGGCTGATGGAATATAACAACTCTTGGTTTAAGCTTTTCATCAATTTCATATTTTTTCTAAAAAATAATATGTAGCTGAATTATACGGTGCTAAATCTTTCGGTGTACAACCAGATACACATTTTATTGTATAATCTGCTCCAGCTATACACAATAATTATGTACACCATAGATTATTTTTACTTGCAGCTAAATGTAATGGAGTGACATTATTGAAATCGGTTATATTGACTATAGCTTGATTACTGATTAATAAGCATATCATATCAAAATGATTATTCATAGCAGCATAATGTAATGGTGAACGACCTATATAATCTTTACAGTTTGGATTAATACGTTCGTGTAAAATTCTTGCAGCAGTTATTAAATTTCCATTTGCTGAAGCTTTACACAACAGCTCTTCCATGTATGCATACGGTTTAATAGAGTTTAGTGTAACTTTCTCTTCTCTTTCCATTATGATTTATATAATAGTCAAGAATTTATGAATCAGCTAATTGAACAGTCTTAATATATTTTTATACATACGCAAATAATCAATAAAATTTAAAAATTTCTTCGATCGAATAATAAATCACATGGTAGATAATTATAAAGTCATTGGTTAATTATAAAATGTTGTAATCACATACTTCTCATAATGTTGTTTAGATCGTCTTATTAACAAGTGAGTCGTTTTAATAATTTGACACAATTGTTTGATTTTGTAGCCTTAGAGTTATTCCAACCAATGTGATTTGAGGGATTAAGCGATGACTAAGCACAGTCAACATATACCTACAACCTACAACTAACTACTTTTGTAAACTTATCACTCGTCTAACTCTGAATGCCTATTTCTTTCATTAGATACACATGATCCTAAGATATCACCATATATTATTATTAGTAGTACTGTTATATTATTTGTCCTAGTTGATGAATGTCTATAATTTGTTGGAAGTGCTTTTCACAACACGCCAAGTCTCACAACCATCACATAGAAGCACTGACTTGACTGACATAAGTGTTGAAAATCCGGATCTTGTTCCACATACTGAGTGCAGAAGATCTCCACACTGGTTTCAGGTTAATGAACACCTGCATTGCTGTCTTTCCGATCCTGGTTTTGACATCCTCATCTGTGTAGCATGTAGTTGAAACAATGCTTCCTAGATAGGTGAAAGAGGCTATTTCCTTTAAGTTTCTCCCATTGATGGTGATTGGAGCTTGTTGTTGTTGGTTGGGTATCTTCATCACCTCTATCTTCTCTACGTTCACTTGAAGTCCTACCCACTAACTAACAACTTTATCTGTGTGTCGAATAAACAATAATTCTAGTCATAAATTAGAACTAACGGTATAAACGGACTGTATAGTGTACACTGAATCAAAGAACAAGTGTCTTCAAGAAAAGAAAAAGTCTTGCTAATAAATGAAACACTAAATGAATTCTCTTCACCATACATCAGATTTCTGCAGTAGTTGAGATGATTCCAACGGTTTGAAGAAGTTTCAGGTATTCAATGTTCACGAGAATCTCATGAAGTCCACAAATCACAATGAAGTTGGCTTTCACATTTAACGGGTGGTCATATTCAATGAAATGTTGTAAACTGGTGTTATGGAGTGTTCTCCATTCTCCCTTTATGCAACCACACTGCTACATGTTCACAAATGTGTATGGAAAGTGAACGTTGAGTAGGGTGAATATATTTGACTACAAAGGAGTAGGTGAATTGATAAAGAAACACATCGAGGTGGCCAAGTTGACCAGCTTATCCTCTATACATGATCGAAGCATTGGGTGAATGGAGAAAGTTAGTCCGAATATGAAAATGTTAGACGATTTCTCAATATATCTATTGATGTGTCTCCGTTCAATTGTGATCTCATGAAACGAGGCTTGTTAGGAGGCAAACAGGTGGACTGATTATTTGCTTTCCGTTTCATCGTAATTATTACCAATGAAACGCTTGACTTACTGGTTTTCGATGAAAACATTTTTGAAAATATTGAGTTCATGTTGTAAAGCATTGTGAATGTAGATAATGTGGATTTTGTGACACATAGATGAAATTAGATTGCATTAGATAGATGGAGGCAGGTAAGTAACTGTGAGAATTCGTAAGTTGTCCAATGGATGTGTGTTGTGTGTGTATCGACGTTTTTAGGTGATGCATTGTGTTGTCTGTTAAGGTGCATATTTGAGAAGGATATCGTTGAGTTAAGTTCGTTTTCTAATGGGAAACTCAGTGAAGGGTGGCAGCTGTTAAACTGTGACAGCCTATTTTTCAGATTATCCGTATCCGTAGTGCTAGCAGCTTTTCAATAGTTCTCCAAATGATTTCAGTAAATGCTGAGTAGCAACTCGCAATATCAAGCACTTTTAACTGTCTTCTTACCTGCTAGATACAGTCACTTATCCCGGATACGCAGTGATCGGCCTAAAATGAGTAAAACATTAAAATAACTAAAGTTCACTTGAGGATACCAAAACCATTGTAACCTGTAATAGATTCTCGTGAAAAAAGGTGCGAGAAGGTCTGAAGAAATCAACTGAATAGTCTAACGGTTTCAATCGCAGTGGTTTACTGATGAAAACCAGAGTACTGGATGAAACCTTCAACACCATTGAATTTGAGCATTGTCGAAAGATTCAACAATTAAACTGAACAGATGTTTACATTTCATAAAACATGTATAAAGTATAAATGTCTTATACTAGGATGAGCAACCTCGCCTGGTTAACTAGTTCACTAGTTACTAGCCGGTCCGAAGCCGGGGTATACAGGGAAGCTTGGGCATAGCACTACCAACCTCACCCCGTAGAACAAATCCAACCGATAAAGAAACTTCAAAGCACAAACAAAATATCAAAAATAATAACAAAACTATTCCTCGCTGGAATCGGAGAGGCGAAATGACTCGAGTTGGTGAAAGCCTTCAGGAAGCCAATAGGCCGATGTGTCACCTCTCTCTCGATGAAAGCGAAAGTAAACGTGAGGACATGGAATGTCCGCACGATGTTTGAACCAAGCAAGGCAGCACAGATTGACAAGGAGGTGAAGAGGTATCACATTGAAGTGCTTGGAATATGCGAAAGCAGATGGAATGGGAGAGGGCTGTCCAAACTGTCAACTGGAGACGAGTCAATAATCTACTCCGATATTCTCACCCAGACGACAACCACGAGCACACTGAGTTATCGAGTGGCTATCATGATGTCCCCAGCAGCATCGAAGGCTCTCTCTCATGCAGTGGGAACCAATCTCCTCAACAATAATGATCATGACAGCAAGGTTCAACTCAAAAGGAAAGTAAGGTCACATTAACAATCACAAACACACACACAAAACACATACCTACAAATAATGCAGAGCAAGAGAAAAAGGAGGAATTCTACAGACAACTGCATTCAACACTGGACAAGACCTCAGTTGACGATATCAAAATTCTAATAGGCGACATGAATGCTTAACTCGGAGCGGAAAACACACGAAGACAACTAACCATGGGCCGAGAAGCGCTCAGTGAGGTGATGAACGAAAATGGAGAATGGTTTGCAGAATTCTGTGCATTCAACCATCTGGTGATTGGAGGCCAGGCACTGTGTTCAAGCACAAGGATATCCACAAGTCAGCGACATGGATTCGATTTCACCAGATGGACAGACTACACTAAAAATCAGATCGACTTCATCTCAATGAGAAGAAAGTGGAGACGCAGTCAGCCTACTTGACACAAGATCAAGAAGGGGAGCAGATGTAGGTTCAGACCACTATCTAGTGCAAGAAACCCACCTTCGAAATCAAGTTGAAAGCCTTCAAGGAAGTTGGTGATAGACCGCAGTTCAAGTGCAACACTCGGAACAAGAACTGAAGGACGAAACTACAAAGGAGATCTTCACGTCAGCCAGCCATCAAGACAAAATGGGAGATATCGAGGAACATCCCTGAAGGAACGAGTGTGGAAGAACACTGGAAGTCTTTGAAAGAGATGTGGAAATAAACCTGCATAACCAAGCGTATTAGGAAGGAAGAAGAAAGAAGACAAGACAAGAAATGGATCTCAATGGATACATGGAAGCTGATAGAGCAGGGAGAGGAGGATGGTGAAACAGAAGATAAACAACAACAAGAGAAACGTAGTATAATGTATAAAACACCACACTGGACAAAGAAGTAAAGAAGAATGCACACAAAGACAAAAGACACTTCTATGACACATTGGCAAGTGAAGCAGAACAGGCTGCAGGTAAGAGAGACCTGATAACATTGTATCAAATAACCAGGTTACTGTCTGGGAGGGAAGAAATCAACACAGATGAAACCAATAAAAGATGATGAAGGAAATATAATTACGAAAGAAGAGAAACAAAGGAAACGATGAGCCGACCAATTCAAGAAGCTCTTGAATCGACCACCACCACCACCACCACCTGCACTTCGTCCAGAAATAACACCTGCAGTCGACTCACAGAACTACAAGTGAACATAAATCCTCCAACAAAAGTGGAAGTCCTGAAAGCCATAAAGCTACTGAAATGCGGGAAAGCAGCAGGACCAGATTGAATCACGTCAGAAACACTGAGAGCAGACGCAGAGACAACAGCGGACATGCTCACACCACACCACTATTGCAGAAGGTGTGGAAGGAAGGAAGGAAAGGTACCTGCCCATTGATTGGAAGAAATTCTACATTGTCAAACTCCCGAAGAAGAGAAATCTCAGTGTTTGCAAGAACTGGCCCGGAATCACGCTCCTGTTCACCCAGTGCAAGCAAAATCCTAAGCCACATCATCTTGGAGAGACTAAAGGATAAAATGGATTCAAAACTACGACCCGAACAGGCTGGCTGGCTGGATTCAGGAAGTACAAATCATGTGTGGACCAAATGGTGACGCTTCTCATCATCATAGAACACAGTATAGAATGACAGTCAACTCAACTCTAACTCAACTTCATCCACTTTGAGAAGGCCTTTGACAGCGTCGACCATCAAGTAATTTGCAAACTGCTTCAACACTACAAAATACCACAAACCATTATCAACCTCATTCAACAACTATATGAAGATGCCACATACCAGCCAAGTAATTCACAATGGGAAGCAGCTCAGTGATGCTTTTGAAGTGAAGACAGGAGTGAAACAAGGCTGTCTACTATCACTCATGATATTCCTGATTGTGGTTGACTGGATCATGCAACAAGTAGTGAGGAGCTGTGAGAAGAGGAGGATACGCTCGCTGGACCGTGGAAAAGAACCTAGACGATTCGGATTTTGCCAATGATGACATGTGTCTAATGTCACACAAACTTGAAGATCTACAGGTGAAAACTCACAAGTTGACAGAAGAGGCAGGGCAGGGCAGTGAAAACGGGACTTCAAGTGACTATAGAGAAGACAGAGGTGATGAAGATACCCAACCAACACCTACAACAACAACAACAACAAACTCCAATCACCATCAACGGG